ATAGTGGAGCTTCTGCTAATTATTGCAATAATCGTGTTTCGAAATATGCAACATCATACCGAACTATTTTTAATCAAACAGTGGAAACGGCAAATGGACAGCAAACATCCATATCAACTATGGTTACTCTTGATTTACAGTTTGGTGAATATTCTGACACAATAGAAGCATATTCTTTTGAATCTAAATTCGATATTATACTGGGCCAAAGTTGGTTACAGAAAATTCAACCTATTCCTGACTTTTCGACACACACGTGGCAACTACCCTTGGATAAACAGCATTGTCGTTTTACCACAATTTATCCCTCCAATATGAAGAACGGTACTAAAGATGTGACACCAATAAATAGTATGATATCACCATCCCAGAAGTCAAGTAATACTAGTGCTATAGAAAACGTGTCCCCAAATCATGATGATTGCAGTTTCCTGCTTACAGCTAAACAATTTAATCGTTTATTGAAGACTTCCCAAGTTGAAGAATGCTATTTGGTTCAATACACAACTGATATTTCGCAAATACAGCAGCTTTGTGCTGATCCCTCTGGTTTATCTGTTCCACAAGATGATACTATCGACAAAGCATGGTGTCAAGAATTTGCTCAGAAGTATCCCAATGTCTTCCGAGGTACCCTGGACAAGTTACCCCCAAAAAGAACGGGTATTGACGATGTTACGAAAGACATGATTGTCCTGGAACCCAATACTACTCCAACATCCATTCCACCCTATCGTATGAGTCCTTTGGAATTAAAAGAACTACGTCGACAATTAGACATATTGATCCAAAAAGGTTTTATTGAACCAAGCTCGTCTGATTGGGGTTGTCCTGTTCTATTTGTCAAGAAATCTTCAAAGAACCCAGATGGTACCCCTGAATTACGGATGGTTTGTGATTTTCGTGCATTAAACAAGAAAACAGTTTCTCAGCGTATTCCAATTCCTCGGATTGATGAATGTCTTGAACAGCTACATGGTGCCAAATACTTCAGTACATTGGATATGGCTTCTGGATTTCACCAGATTCGGCTTTCTGATAATGACTCTCAAAAGGCGTGTATCAATACCCGATATGGGAAGTTTTGTTGGAAAGTGATGCCATTTGGTCTCAAGAATTCTGGTCCTCGCTTCCAACTGTTGATGAATCAGATCCTCAAGGACTACATTGATAAGATATGTATTGTTTATGTCGATGACTTGGTTATCTTTACTAAGGATAATGATCTATCCCTTCATAAGAAACACATTGACTTGATATTGCAGAAATTAGATGAAGCGGGTATGGTTGTTCAATTGAGTAAATGCAAATTCAATCAAAAGCATATTACATTTCTAGGTCATGAAGTTATTGCGGGAGAAGGTGTTAAACCTTCCAAGGCAAAAGTTGAAACAATCCTATCATGGCCCGTACCTAAGACAGTGCAGGATGTTCGTCGATTTATTGGTCTTTGTCAATATTACAAGGCCTTTATACCAAACTTCTCTAGTGTGGCTGCTCCTATTACGGATCTTACTAGGGGTTCTGGTCATAAATTAAGAAAAATCCAGTGGTCTACAGAGTGCCAATTGGCATTCAAGGTGATTAAAGAAGTAATGGCAGCGACTCCAGTGCTTTTGATGCCGGATATGACAAAGCCCTTTCGAATTGAATGTGATTCTAGCGATTATGGTTTGGGCTGTGTTTTATTACAGCAAGATCCTCATGGTGATGATGAATGGAAACCTGTCGCCTTTGAATCCCGAAAGTTTTCGGCTGCGGAACGAAATTACCCTGCGCAAGAACGAGAAATGTTAGCCATTATCCATGCCTGCCGTACATGGCGATGTTTTGTTGAAGGGACTCACTATGAAGTTTATACTGACCATCTCCCCTTACAGTATTACAACACTAGTAATAAGGTATCACCGCGGCTTGCCCGATGGATGGCTGAACTAGAAACATATCAGCCTACTGTTCTATATAAAAAAGGTGTAGAGAACATTGTCTCAGATGTGTTAAGTAGGAAAGAAGGTCCTGACTGTATACCAAACGCTACGTCCCTTGAACCATTATACCTTTATAACTCGAATCGTCAAAACAATGTCAATGTATTAGATGCCAACACACCGTTGAATAAACTCAAAAAATCGGAACCTTCACAGCTGATAGATCCTTGTAATGACTGGCCGTTATTTTACCGACAACATGAAACTAATTGGCCCTCCCGATGGAAATTGCAATTGATCAAGGAACAGAATAATTTTACTGTTGAAGCAAATGTTGTGTACCGTAAATTAACCTTATCTATTGCAGGTGGCAAAAAAGAAACAAAACTTGTTAGATTTATTCCGTACTCCAAGCGTGCTGATTTAATAGAAGATTTTCATCGTGGCTTTGGACATGCTGGTCAAGCAACCATTTATCAACTACTCAAATCCAGAGTATGGTGGCCCAAAATGCTAGGTGATATCTGTCATTGGTTACGATTATGTCCTGAATGTCAATTGTCTGCAAAATGTGAAAAGAATGTTCATCATGCCCCAATGAAACCACTTGAAGTACCTGCCCCTTTTGCTCGATGGCATTTAGATTTTATAGGTGAACTACCAGCAACAATAAAAGGTTTTAGATGGATATTAATGGCGGTAGACTATGCCACAAATTGGATCATAGCACGTCCCCTAGTGTCAGCAACTGGAGAAGAAATTGTAAAATTTCTGTATGAGGAGATATTTATGAAATTTGGATGTCCTAAGGAAATATGCACTGATCGTGGAAATAATTTTATGTCAAAGATTCTGAAGCAATATATGAAGAAAGTCCGTTGTAAACATATTCTCACAAGTGCCTTTCATCCAAGAACGAATTCTAAAGTAGAACGCAATAACCAGACCTTCAAACGCATGTTAACGAAATATGTCAATGGCAATATCAACTCTTGGGATGATTATATCGATTCGGCATTGTTTGCCTGTCGTATCCGAAAACATGCGACGACTAAATATAGCCCTTTTTATTTGGTCTATGGTATTGAACTTCGAATTCCTGGTGATGTAGCATATCCTTTTATTGACCCATTCGTCGAAGAAAATCCCTCAATTATTACTAGCGATACGTTAACACGAATTCGTGACCTTCAAGAAAACAGATTACAGGCCGAAGCTGATATGCGGCAACGAGCTCAAAAAGACAAAGAGCTCTGGGATAATCAATTGAAGGATCAAACAGTACAAAAGTTCAAGTATGGTGACTATGTTCTTTTAAGGCATGAAACCAAGAAAGGCCTTGAATTTAACTGGATGGGTCCTTATGAAGTTGTTAATGTAAATTATGAATTCAATATATATCAAATAAGAGAAATTGAAGGCAAAACATATGGATCTTGGGTGCATACAGATCGACTTCGACGTGCACATTATGATGGAGGTAAAGTGGATAAATCCTGGTATATTCCAAGACGTGCGCGAGCTCAAATGGTTCCGTCAGTTAATCCATAGCATTTTTTTGGAAGGGGGGTAATGTCGTGTTATAACGGTGATTGAATATTATAGAGCATATAAAAGGAACATGACTCTCTGAATAGAATAAAGAACAATCCTCTTTTTCTCTTTACTAAAACTTTGTGTTTAGTATAAGATTACCCTTGTTTTATCGTTAGCTCAGTGCGCGACAACACAACAGTAGTGAAAATTAAAAAGCAAAAAATGCGTGGTCGGGGAATCGAACCCCGGCCCTTCGCGTGGCAGGCGAAGATTATACCACTTAACCAACCACGCAAGGTTAAGAGTGTCGCGCTCGCGAAAAGTGAAGCCCTTATATACTTTTTGCAAAAATCTTAAAAAACTATTGTTACAGCTCCCTAAACCCTACCTGACTCCGAATTCCCACACCCCGTTTACTTACTACCATTTGCAGCCGGTTTGTTTATCACACCAGTTGACTTAATATAGTAATCTACACAAAGAAAGACCAAAAGAACAAAACAGTAAAAAAAATCAACAAAAAAAGAGAACAAAGAATACAACAAACCACAACAAAAACATTCCTAATTACAAAAAAAAAGTGACTCCCTTACACATAATCCTAAAAAACATCAAGATTCTCACAGTTCACAAAATCCTAAAAAACATCAAGATTCTCACAGTTCACAAAATCCCCATGCATCTTAAATCAGAACAGGATAACCTTCTCCGCGACCTGGCACCTGCAACCCAAACTGCCCTACAACGCTTTTATTTGGTACAACAAAAAGTTGTTTGTACTAAATGCAACACATCAGGTACCACCAATCACTCCCACAACTCGACTGATTCACCCGTACAGCCACTTTTTGTCTGTACCGCGTGCAATCACAAACCCACCCTCCCCGATATCATTCGGGCAACAACACAAGCTCTTGCTAACCCCACCTCTGTTAGCTTGTCCTTTGGTGATACCAGCGCCACCTTCAATGGCAATAACAACACTACCACCTCTCCCAAAACCAAAAAAAGCAATAAGCCTGTGGGTAAAAAACGAGCTCGTTCAAATACGAACGACTCAGCTCGTGATACAGAACAACAACAGCTGCATGACCAGCTCCAAACCTTGGTTACACCTCTTACCACCCAAGTTCAACAACTGGAAAGAAAAAACCAAGAACTCTCGCAAGACAACAAACAGCTGCGAGCGCAATTGGAGGTCTTTATGAACAAAGTTGCCTTCTTAGAACAGCAACTTTTGAATCAGCAGAAAGACCAACATTTAACACACCTGCTGGAACCATCATCCTCTTCCTCTTCCGTCCTTGAGGACACGGCAATGAGCCCCAGTACCACCACAGTACCAACAGCAACCCCCAACAACAACACCACTCCCCTCTTTGTACAAGGTGGTACATCTGCATCCAAATGGGCAAATGTAGATCACACGCCTGTCAAGAAAAATAATCATCCAGACAAAACAGTGAACTACCAAAAAAAGAACAAAAACAACAAAACTGCCCCCAATACTACTAAACACCTACCGTCCCTACAAAAGTCCAGGTCCAAAAGCAACGTAACCTGCGTAAAGCTCTCCATGCCCTCAGTGCACCATCAACAAGCCTAAATGGCTTCTCTTACATTTATTATGGTTGCAAAAACAGAACCGAGCGTAAAGACCAGAGAAAAAATCTAAAAGCCTTGGGTGCCCAAAACAGCCGCATCCTCGATATTCACTATCCTAGCCGTACCGTTGTTGCACTGCTAGTACACAACGACTACCGCGAAGAGCTTATCACACAGCTCCAAAAACGTAATGTCAACCCCTTGGACCAATACTCTCCTACTGCTGCATCTGCTCTCACGGATCCTCAGTATAAAGATCTTTCCGAACAGGAAAAAATCAACATAGCCACAGCTAAACATCAACAACGCTTGGTACGAGCACTCCCTTTTATCCGCACTACTATCTCCCGAGCTGTTGGCCGTTTATTTTTAGAGCAACAATGGATTACCAACTCTCAATTCGAAAATTTCCTACAAGTATACAAAATCACTGTAGCAAAAAATAAACCCACTCCTCCTATTAGTCAGCAACCTGCTAGTGATGCCTCAGCTATCACCACCGCCTCAACAGCTGCTAATAACAATAACAATACTATCGAACAACAAAACTCTATGGATATTAGTAAACAATAATGAGGAATCTCACTATTGCTTGTATTAATGCCAATGGTAAATTACGACAGGAACCCATTGACTCCATCCTTTACTATTGTAACAATGTCGACCTATTATTTATCACCGAGACCTGGCTCCCTCCAGACACTACTATTCCTACCAATTGGTCACAATATCACATTTATAGCCAACCCGTCCTCAACTCCACTCGCTATCAAATGGGTATTTCCCTCTTTATTAATCCCAACCTATCCCCTACCAAGTTATTCATTGATACCTGATATATCCAGTTACTTTGAAAGACTTATAAAAACAAAATAAGACAGTAAAATGACCAGACACAACAAAGATACTCTTTATTCAAGTTTGTTGAGAATGATACTTTTATATGAGAAACGGGGTTATTAACGGGTATTCAACTATTAATACAACTGAACTAAAACTATCATGAGAATGATAAGATCTTAGCCGCAAGCGGGTGTCAAAGTAGATGTGTATCAGATTGTCAAGCAGGTACTGAAGTCGTTCTGTAGTTTAAGACGTATAGTTGTATCTTGGATACAACAACCGTAATCCCTTTTGAAAGTTGGTTGTCTGTATATCAAACCTTTCAGTGATGAGTCGCTTCACTTGCGTCCAAGTGAGCTCCTCCTTCTTTTTTTCTATATTTTTCTTGTACCAACTAAAAACTAAATCAGGACATGCTGTGAATGACATACGTAATGCACTAAACCAATTATGTTCAATAGACTCATCTGTCATAAAATGATTGAAGACACTTTCAAAAGTATTGAAAAATGCTTCTAATGATGGATATGATGTTCCATTGTCATTTTTCTTTGGGTCACCATTCTTGTTATTATGGACAAGGGTGGCGTCAATGCTGGTAATTCTGAAGTGCGGTATAACGCCCACAGGAATTGACTTTTTCATCAGATTGGTTGATATACCTTGCTGATGATCAGCATGGGCAGTAGGCTTAGCGCCTCCACCGGATTGCAACATGTTATATTGTTGCAACAAGTCATTGCGTTGCTGCGTTAATATTTGCAGCTTCATGCTGGTGCTTTTTATATCAGCATCATTTATAGCATCACACAATTTTTCATTTAGTTGCATGATTTTTTTGTTGAGTACTGATATGTTACTCTGTATGTTGACATTAACGTCTAAAACCTCTTTTTGAGGCTTAGCATTTTCTTCGACAGGGCTAGTTGCATTATCTGCATCACCCATGTCAACATCTTCCATGAGATCTTTCTCAATCTCTTCTTCCAACGTGAGTTCGAAGTCCAAAGGATTTTCGCTCCCACGCAGTTGTTGATCAATGTAGAACAACTTTGGTGAAGGTCTGCGACCAGAAGCAACGTCAACAAAGTTGGGTCTTTGATCCCTACTTGAAATGTTGTTGTTGTTGTTGTTGTTGTTGTTGTTGCTGTTGTTACGTTCGGTGTTCATCGAAAAAAATGTTGTATTTGCTTATTTAAAAAATTGATAACAGTTGTGAGTCGATGACTATGAACTTAGGTGTCTTTATTATTCTTCAGATGAAGTAGAAGGATTATTTACTTTGTGAGGTTTAATGGGAATTATATTATTTGAGGAGGCGCATGCTAGTCACTAATTTCAGGTTCAGATGCTTATTGGGTGATTATTATACTTAGGCCTATATCTTGTTCTATGTTGTACATAACCTATATTAGATGCAATATAGATAGACCGTGGTAGAATGTATTCTCTACCTGGTTGTACGTACTCGAGTATTGTAGTTATTATCTCACCAAACACGTCAGGTAGGCCTGTTCTTGTTCCTCCATTATGTCCACCAAATTAATTCGTTCTTGCTGTCTGTACTTACATCGGTGCATTCCAATTCTGAGAGTACTTGTTCAATGTCATCGCTAAATCTCTCTGCATATGCCGAATACTGTATGTAACAGGCCTGAGATATTCTTAAGTATTTTTATAGACCAAGATAGAACGAGACCGAAAAAGTCAGATAATTTTTATTTCAATTTTGAGAACATGAAGGCCTTATATATTTTATATAGTAGAATTAGCTGAGCTTACAGAGGATATTAGGAAGATGTAGTTACAACCAATGAGTACTAATGGATCTAATGAGAGACTAGTGAAGGCGTGTTCTTACACTGTTATGGATCTGATACAGTACCAGTTTGACTTGCGAAGAATTGCTTAATCGACAATTCAAGTCTAAGACAGCCGTTTATGCTGTGTTTAAATTAATTAATTCTCACTCGTGTTTCGATACCGTAGACAGTGACCGGGACTGAAGGTATATCACCGGCAAAAATCCAATTGCCTAATAAGGAAATTGGTAGGTTTTCGATACTAATATATTATTTTATAAAAAGATATGTTTTATAATACGTTCGCGGTGTCTTTGCGTGAAGGTTCTATATAATCTCAAAATAAAAAAAAAATTAAAGGCGAATGAATTTTCCAACTTTACTGACTATAAAATTATAAACAATAATGAACAACAAAAAAAATCCTAAACTAAACTCGATTGTGAAGATGGTTTGGTTCCTGCTTGATGTTTATACTATAACTATGGAGAGGGTGTGCATTAACATTATTAAAGTCCGAACTTGATCTATCGCCGGTTAAACTTCCGGCATCGGAAAAACGTTTTAACCGCCAAGTCGAATTATATCCATTTTGGAGCTCTGGCATTTTATGGCCACCGCCTAAAATTCGCTCCTGAACACAAATCCGAAATCTCCTTTTTAGGAAATTTCGGAGATTGAATATTTGTGTAACCATAATTTTTTGGATTCTCCTGGTTTTTCTAATTCGAATGCATACCATATCACTGATTTTCGATGGTTAGTTCGCTGGCTTTAGACGAAAATGTCCTCAAATTATTCAAATTTTCTTGTTGTACTCGTCACAGTTCGAATGACGGAAATTTACCGCTGCATTCTTCAGTTTTTGATGGTTTTAGCTGTAAACTAAATATCAGCGTTGTTCCAATACGATTGAAGTAGTTGCATTCGCGAAAATGATGTGGTTCGTTTATTTTCTATTGATTTCTTGTTACAGAATGTTCCTTCTTGAAATCACTTTGTTTTTAGTGTGTTTCTGGGTGGATGTAGAAGAAAGTATTATATGCTCAGCATCAAGTGTAAAATATCACGCAATAATTGCTATACTTTAGGACATTGATAATCTTTAATCGCGTTAAAGACAACAGACAAAGGTTTATTATTCAGTTAAGAATTATTGTACACAAACGTGCTTGACGTGTTTGGTGAGATAATAACTACAATACTCGAGTACGTACAACCAGGTAGAGAATACATTCTACCACGGTCTATCTATATTGCATCTAATATAGGTTATGTACAACATAGAACAAGATATAGGCCTAAGTATAATAATCACCCAATAAGCATCTGAACCTGAAATTAGTGACTAGCATACGCGTCCTCAAATAATATAATTCCCATTAAACCTCACAAAGTAAATAATCCTTCTACTTCATCTGAAGAATAATAAAGACACCTAAGTTCATAGTCATCGACTCACAACTGTTATCAATTTTTTAAATAAGCAAATACAACAGTGCTAATCCAAATGCAAATTTATGGTCTCGTCAACTTCATTTTCATTTCCGTCTTCGTCTTCCTCCACTATTAATTCAGTAAGAAATGGACGATCTCTCTGGCGACGATCATATTCAACTTCTCGAAGTGATTTCAAAAAACCACCCCAAAGGTCACTAGCATATTTGCGTCTCCAGATAAACTCTAACAACACCCATGGCATGCTTCTTTTTGTACGCTCTCTAGGACGGCAACGCAACTTTATACCAAACCAGGTACCTGTCAATTGAAAACGTCAAGGATCAGTACAACATTCTGTATTAAGACTTCTTCTTTGAATGTGAATACCTTCTATAGTATTTGTATGTGTGCCATCCTCTGCAATATAGCCTTCAGAATGATTAACTCGATTATGGATGAAATTACGACGTAGACCAGGAATACATAAGTAAGATCTCCAATAGTCTGTGCAAATGATGGAACCTCTGTTTACATAGCGACGTATAATTGCACGCATAGTCTCTGTTGTTCTGTCTGGAACAGAAACCAAAAATACACGCCTTTCCTCAGTTCTTTCGACACCACCAACCACCCACACGCCTTCAACACGATGACCATTGTGGTACTTCCGCTTTCCAAACTTACTCTCATCAATTTCAACAATGATTGGCTCGCCATTTACGTTATATCCTCCTAAATGTACATAAAACAGTTAAAATTGAGCATTCTTACTGACGGTAATATACATGCAATTTCAATCCTATCTATTTACCGATTTTGTGAGGCTTATTGTGTAAATGGCGCTCATTTGGTGGAAGGGCTTCTAAGTCGATCGTATCGTCGTCATCAGAGTCGTCATCCAAGTCTTCCTCTGAAACAATAAAGTCGTACTGCATAATCTGGTGAAAGTTGGATATCAAACTGCTAATTGTACGCATATGTATATGAGTTATGCCATGAATGAGTGTCTTAGGAGCGCCCTGAAGCCAATAATATAAGACGTGGATCTGACGATGTAAGGGAAGTCTTGATTTTTCAAAAAATGAACCCTTAAGAGCCGAAACACGACTTTTTCCGCACATACAACCATACTTATGACAACGCCATATATAGCCACGATCTACGTTGTAGGTAAACTTCATTCTTTCCCCTCCATCGCAAATCATATCAGCTCGAGTCATATCATCCCGATTGTAATCATAAAGTACTCGCTGTTCCATTAGAAACCTAGATGTTGTGTGTTCAGTTAAGATACAGGATGAATATGGAGATATCTAACAGTCAAAGTAGCATAAGACTTTACTCACCTAACAGCACTATCTTTGTCATATATCAAAGCGAATAACTGCACGTCAGAAGGAATGACTCTTGACACTCGTCTAGACCAACACAAGATAGACCCTATTTCTTCTAATGTGAGAGGGACGGGCAAAGGAACTCCAGCAGCTGATTGAGGAACTTGACTACGTTGAGGAGGACTATCACTTGCTGAAGATAAACTAGATGGTTCTATTTCTTCCACCTCGCTTTCAGTAGACACAATACGACGATCCCTACGCTGACGAAGACGATGGCCCCTGTACAACACTTCTCCTTCGGAAGACGAGCTTTGCAATTCCGGAGAGTCTGAGGAATCAGATGTTGTGCCCAAGTAACGAGCAAAATGTGTTCTATGGCCAAAGGTATTTGATACGTTACTGCTTGAAGAGGAGTCCGAACTAATTAAGATAGCGCTCACCGAAAGGACTGAACGAATAGATTCCTCCGAGGATGAAGAAGCCAAAGAGCCAGAAGCATTAGTACGGCTAACTTGAGTTGAAGAAGAACTGAAATAGCTGATAGGGAAGCGGCCAAATGACATTTAATAGAGAAATTCGAAGTATTAAGTAAAGGTGGATGGTCTATCTGTCGAAATTTATCACCCTTTTATACTTTTTCGCTGAGCTTATCAGCCCACTTTTGGATTTATCACGCCATATCTCCGTCCAATCAGAATAGTCGCAAATATACCGCATTTTCCCCGAGTACGTTCCCCGAGTCAGAAAGAAAAAAAAATTTCAGACACTGTCAAACAGTTTCTCCGGATAGCCGTAACTACACCAATTCTCAATAATATAAGACCAAACCAATAGCATTCGAAAGCTAAAAACCTATGTCACCATCTGAGATGTAATTTATGTGTAACATTCGGAGTATTAATCTACTTTGGAACAGACAGCTTCTAACAGTATTTTCAAAATTAGCTGCATCAATTGGACTATGGTTACACAAATATTCAATCTCCGAAATTTCCTAAAAAGGAGATTTCGGATTTATGTTCAGGAGCGAATTTTAGGCGGTGGCCATAAAATGCCTTTTAGCCATTTCTAACCAACCTGATAGGCTATTGCAATGACCTCCTGTCACGTGACCAAAACGGAATATTCTAGAACATTTCCTATTTTGGATTTCAAATCCTGACGGTACCAAAGGTACAGTCCTCCCGTTCCCAAAGCTCCCCAAGGTTCTTCGGTGCACTATCGTATGAAGCAAGCTTGCATTTCAAGTAGAACCATAAATTCTCGATTGGATTCAGGTCCGGGGAGTAGGAAGGCCAGTCAAGAACATTTACCTTATTTTTACGGAACCATTCTTTAGTCACTTTGGCCGTATGCTTGGGATCATTATCCTGCTGAAGGATGATGTCCTTCTTCTGTAGGCCATAATCTTTTAGGGTCTCCAAGAAGTCCCCCTTCAGAATTTCGCAGTATAACTGCGCGTCCATCCCGCCCTCTATCTTGGCAATAAAACCAGGTCCATATTGGGTGAAGCAGCTCCACAACATCAAGCTTCCTCCACCTCCTTTATAAGCGTAGTTGACATTGTGGGCTTGGAGAGGTTCTCCCTTTTTGACCCACGTCCACGTCTTTCCATCTGATCCTAGACGATTTATTTTGGTTTCGTCGCTGAAAACGACCTTCTTCCAGTCTTCAACCGTCCAATTTTTGTGAGCCTTTGCCCATTTCAACTGATTCTTGCGACGTTCATTAGTGTTGTATCCAACAGCATATTACTCTTGGATTATTACATAATACTGAAATAAGAGATTGCGGATCCTTATGAAGGTTAGAATAACCGTGAGTGATAGGTTTGTTAGAACAATTCTTTTCTTTAGCGGAAGAATATTTCATCTGTATATCCGAGACAACATTGGATGAGTAATTGACTTCATTTAGAAATAAGATATTATAGTATTTGGATTTGATTAAATCAGATAACTTTATTTAGCACATCAAACCACAATACATAAATCTAATCTATTTAAGCTATTATCTTCTAACTTGTTGATCCTTACTTTAACCCTTTACATTCTGACAGAATTCAATAAGACTGAAACGTAGACGTCGGCAGAATTAAGGAAGAGTTTATCCTGTCCGTCACGTTAGTTATAATGAAACTGCTGAAGTACGGGTCAAAGGAACCTTTAGTTAGATCAACCCACTTACCTCCTGTCACCGATCCAATCGGTCAAGGCACCGCTATAGCATGATGAACCGTGCAGTAACAATTGGGTATGTCTTTTCTTTTATCATCAAGGCATCTTGTACCTAAGAGTCTCGATAGAAAAAGTTTTTTACAATATCCACAAATATAAATAGAAGTACTTTTTTCCTACATGGTTTTTGTCTTCATTCTTAATTGAGTTCTTTATCAGAATATTCTACCTAATAAAAGAAGATAACTTGGTCTTCACTGATTTCCTTTTGTTTTCTTTTTCTTATACTTTGATCTTATCGTATATAACAATTAGTCAATGGCAATGCCGACTTTTTGATCTTCGAATCGAAATCAGCTGATTTGAGGAATCTGCGTATCGTTTGTGCAGATATTTCATATCCTTGTCCTCGAAGGTTCCGGGCAGCCTCAACTGCAGTAATAAATTGCCCAGTATAGAAAGATCTAACGATCTTTCGACCGAGCAATGCGCTGATCTTTGCAGGTCTGCCCTTCTTGCCATTAGATGCACATGCAAGATCGGTAGCAATTCTGTCAACTGTTGTGTCGTATTTGAGGCACGATGGCAATATTATATGAGTAAATCATCACTCAAAACGTCTAACGAAATGTAAAATAAAACTTGATCTCAGATATGAGTACTGCTCATATCTTCATTCCCGTTTGGTAAGCGGTGTGTTCGATTGCATACATTTGAACCTTAGATCAAATGTATAACAAATAAAGATAAGATAAGAAAAGAATATGGATTAAGGATAATTCTTATGTGAGATTAGCTACCTCACATAAGACTTGAACAGGTTATCTTTATGAAATATATTTTACTTAGATTATCTATGGCTATATGACATTCAGGTATATAGCAGGATTGGTATATGTACTCGTAGGATATATTGATTCAACAACCAAAACATAGTAGGTCACGGTACTGCTCCCTGTTCTGGAAATAAAGTATGGTTGGAGATAAAAAAGGCTCAATCACTCTTTATTAATACAATAACTGTTCACGCAATCAAAAGAACACCACGCACGAATATCTCTTCCTAGCCAACATCTATAATCATTCCCACAGTATCTGAGCTACACAACTGGTGGCCGATAGATATTGGATTATAGATGTAGCTGCATGATCACCCTGGATCTGCCAGGATAGCACATTACAAATCAATCCGCTCTGGGATGGACGAGTAATTATCCACCTAAAGGGAAGACCTATTCTTTTACGGAAACCTCTGATTCACTGAGTATTATTTGACCATAATACATCAGTGTCAGCTATAGATCCCGATACAATCATTTCGTAGACAGCAAACACAATAAGTCTTTATTAATAGCAGTAATTTTAGTTTTCTTTTCTTTTTCTTTAGTTTGTTTTTGAAAGAGAAATAAAGACGGTGGTTTGATTTCGTTAAGCTTTCGTGTTTATTTTCTCTTGTGTTATTCTTTACCTTTTACTTCATAATTAAAACTAGCGAATACCACATTTTTTTTTAACGAATTTCTAAACTACTTTGTCCATAATGCCCCCTATTAACCCCCATCAAGACTCCCCTCAAGAAGACCACGTCCAACAAAATGAGGACATGGAAATGATTGATGTAAATCAGTCAACCTCTAACCGACCCCCTCTTGTGCCTGGTTACACCTCCTCTGTTGCCTCCACTGCCACTGGTATCTCCTCCTCTGAATCCCAAGGTACGAACCTCTCTGAAGGTAACATTAATAACCATGTCCCTCCTATCGATAATAGTGAAACATGCATACACAATTGTAATCATAGTGGACACCACTTGATTATTAATACTGATGTTGGCAAGGACCTCACTTCGCATCAGACCAATAACAATGAGCATGATGTTGGCAAGGACTTCACTTCGCATCACTATAACGATATGAATGACATCAATGTCATACATAACAATGGTACTAATCATACCAATACTTTTACACCATTAGATCCTCCCATGACTAATGAAAAAGACCGCATGATTGTTAGATACGAAAACCGTATCAATGAACTTCGCGAGCAGGTGCTCTGCCAATCAAACCCGGTTGAAATAGAGAAAATCCATGCTACCATTGACATTCTTGAGAAAAACGTCAAGAAAATGAAAGGTGGAATCTCACCTAACAGCACATCCCATTTTGACCCTACCAAAAGTAGCACCATGGATTCCAAATATGCTCATTCCTATTCTCCCATCATCCATCGAAGTGAAATACCTATTTTCCAGTTGGTTGATGACCCTGCGGAGACCAAGACCGACAACGTACCGTCCTTCGAAAACGCTGAAACATTCGCAGATGCGTTTGAGGCTCCCTTCCTTGCCAATGATTGTGATTTGGACAAGTATTGGAGAAAATACTTATCTGTTTCGTTTTCGAAAAGCAAAAACCCAGTCTATCAACGTTGGTACGCTGTTGACTTCAAAAAGTTCCCACATACTACCAGTTGGGAAACTATAAAAAGCGAGATCATAGAACGTTTTGGATTGAACGCTACCATTGATAAGAAAATACAAAACTTCATCCGTATGAAACAGGGTAAAACGGAACAACTTCGCGATTACATGGATCGTTACTATCAAGCCTACACTTATCTCCCTGATCCCAAACCTGACTCCATCTATTTGGTGACTTACTTCTTAGACTCTTTGCTTCCCATGACTAGTGAAGAAGTTAAAAGATCATTGAAACGCTACCATGAAGGAAGGTCCCCTGATAGTAAAACTTCTTTCTATCCTGCCTACTTGTCTGAACTGTTTGACTACCTAAAGAAAAGAATGGGAGACATACAGGAAAGTCTGGCGTTAAAATTTTCATCTCGCTCACAAGGCCATGGCATTCCTATTAACAAGAACCACTCAGACGGAGATATTAGCCATGGTAACGGAATCAATCGTGATCACAAACGCAAAAACAATATGAATAACGATATTGAAATTTCGAGCAAGAAATCTAAATCGTTGGTAAATCCATGCTCGTTCTGCAAAACGGAAAACTATTCGCGAGAACACTTGGAAAACTGCGTTCCTTATCTTAAAAGTGACATATATGTTAGGAGACGTATGAACCAACAAAATAATCAGAATAAGGTAGAAATCTTATATAATGATATTCAATATAAAAAGAGTATCACTGACCAAATACTCATTTTGTATAGCAAAATAGAACATGATATTGAAAACTCATACTCATCTCTACCTCTTGGCAACCATCATTTTGATCAAACTTCATACTATAAAAATTTTCTTACTAGCTCTGATCCAGCTAAAAATAAACATATATTTTTAAAAGATGATATTCGATCACAGATTTCTTGCTATAATGTCTCAAACATAACTGAGAACGAAGTACAGAATTTGTCGCCATATTCTCCCGTTATCATGATCAATGGTGAGAAACTAATTGCTATGATTGACACAGGTGCACAAATATCTTTGATAA